CCATATATATCAAATTTACGTCTTATTGAAAAAACTATTCAAGTTCTTATACAAACAGTTAATAATATTAATATTCCTAATGAACAATTATTAATAAGTTGTTTAATTATTTTTTATAATCTTATGTATATTGATCCAAATTTTCGAACAATATTTTGTCAAAATGAAGAAGGTGCACGTGCATTTATTAAAATGCATAAAACAAATTATATTATTTTATTACTTTTTTCTCATATTGTATGTCAATTATGTGATGATATACGTTGTATTCAAGCATTTGTTAATCAAAATCTTATTGGTGAATTACAAATATTATTAGATAAAGATACAATGAATATACCTATAAAACAAGTATGTCTTTATTTTGATATTCTTGGTAAAATTGGACATTATAAAAATGCATATCAAACATTAATACAAAATTCATCATCAACAAAACGAACAATTCTTGAACAAGCTATTGATTTACTTGAAAGATTTGATCGTGTTTTAACAATATCAATTCTTCGTTTTATACGAAATTTATGCTTTGAAAATGAAGAACAACAACAAATATGTGCCGATAATCATTTATTGATTGCACATTTATTAAGTGCACTTAATTCAACATATAAAGATGTACAACGTTCAAGTGTTGATACACTTCAAGTAAATTTTTATTTTTATTTTTTTTTATAAAATATAATAACAAAAACTAATGTCTTCGTTTTTTAGATGATTATTATACAGAATACTAGTTCTCAATATACAATTTTACAACAAGGTGGTGCTGAACAACTTCTTACATTATTAAATAAAGCAACATTACCAAAATTTCGTATTTCTATTATATGTACACTTTGGTCATTGACAGGACGTGAACCTAATCGAAGACAAACAATGGCTTGTAAGATAATTTAATTGAAAAATAAATGAAAGTTGGTTTTATTTTTCTCTTTAAGATTCTATTGGAGTATCTACTTTAGTGGAAGCTTTAAGTATAAAAACAAGTGATCAATTGTATATTGTACTTGATGCAATTAGTGAACTTCTTCGACGAGTACCAACAGAAAATGAAAATATTCCTCTAAAATTTGGACGTCGACATTGTATACCACCAATGGTTCGATTATTATCAGTTGATCATGAACAAAAATTACTTCTTAAATGTTTACAATGTATTCAACAATTATGTCTTTTATCAACATATCGTCCATGTCGAACAAATCAAACAATATTTCAAAAAGCTATTGGACTTAATCAACTTTTAGTATTAATTCGTCGAACAAATAAAGATAAAATTGTTCAAGCTAAAGCAATAGGAACTGTTGCTTACGCAATTTTTGGTATGTTTAAATTTATTTTTATTTTTGAATTAAATAATATTTTTAGAATAAATTTCATTTTATAGATCATAAAGAAAATAAAGAAACATTAACAAAACCAGTTATTCAACAATTATTTAAACGTATTTCATTCTTACTTAATTCTACTGATGAAGAAGTTCAAATTAGAGCTGGTCTTGGGTATAGATACAATAATTAAAAATTCAATGATAGGAAAAAAAAAAAACAATAAATATTTTTATTTAGATTGGTGACTTTCATTTGTAATGATGTTAATTATTATAACTATTGTGTAGAAAATATGACATTTAATCATGAACATTTTCGACTTTTATTAGCATCCAATAATATTTCTGTTCGTTCTAATGCAGCATTTCAAGTAAATTATACTATTAATTTTTTTTTATTTTTCTAATAAGAAAATAATTATGTGTATTTTAGATGATTATTTTCATTCATCTTTTTCCTGATATAATTGCTTCAGAATGGATTAGTCAAACATTAATAACTTTATTTCGAATTATTGCTGATCCTTATATTGATGATGAAGAAAAAATTTTACCAACAGATATTATTGGACGATTAGCACGTATACCAACAGGTTAATAAATAATAAAATTAAATAAAAAAAAAATAAATAATCTATTGAATTTTTTTAGGTTTTGGAATGCATAAACATTCAGGTTGAAAAAAAAACATCATATATATACATATGATTAATATAATTGCATGACGAATGAATAATAATCAACTATTGCATGTTTTTTACTTTTTAATTTTATTTCTTCTTTAACAAGTGAAAATATGTTTTTTTATTATTTTCTTTTATATAGAGATTTTGTTTTTCTTTTTGATCAAATAGGTGTTTGTGAAGCAATTATTGCAAGTGATGGTCTTGAACATCTTATTGCATTATTAAATAGTTCGCATATTCTTTTATCTGGTAATGCAGCTGTAGCAATTGATTGTCTTGTTCAAGATTCACCTGAAGGACAACGAAGATTATTAAAACAGTATGTTGGTTTCCTTTTTTTTTTGTTTTCTACTGATGAAATTAAAGTTCGATTTCTTTTGTTTTTTGTTTTGATTAGATGTCGTAGTCATATAAAATATCTTGATATTTTAAAAAAATATATTTTTGAACCATCACCATTAAGAACAAGAATTGATGAATTATATTCATCGATTCATCGTGATCCAATATATTTTCCTCCAATTCGAACAACACGACAACATAGACATGTACGAACAAGTTAAATAAATAAACAAAAAAGAAAAATATAGAATGATCGATTTGACTAAAATAACAGATTGTAAAAAACAACAAACTCAAGTTGTAATCAAATAAAGAAATACTTTTTCTTTCTTGTACTAATAAATTTAAAAAGTGTCCTCAATTCAACTCATCAGTTTGATGATGAGTATGGTGCAGGATAATAATAATAATAATAATAATCTCTGTAGCACTTCTTTGCTCATGAACTTTCTATAGAATTTATACATTTAATTTAAACAAAAAAAGACAAATTCAAAGAAATCATATGACATGAAAGATAGTTGATGAAGGGAAATTATGTAAAATTTAGAAAATGAAAACAAATACTCGACTACCATTGATAATTAATAGAAACTTAGAAGTTAAGAGGAGTTCATTTCTACTTATCATTTGTACGAATTGAATTTAAGACTAAGCAAATATTGAATCGAAATATAAACTTCAAAAACTTCTATGAACACAAGTGTCTATGTATATAAAATGATAGAGCAAATTTCAGACCCTTATTTTCAATATTATAATACCAATGATGTTCGTATAACTGACGAAATAGATCATATTATATGAAAAGAAAAAACATTTACAAATTGTATGATTGTTCTCAAATCTGCATTATAAATATAATTATAACTGTTGAATAGTATATTGCGAAAGGAATTATACTTCGAATTTATACCATTTTCGAAGATGTCCGCCATGGCAGCACCAGTATTTTAGTTCATGGTGGATCAACGAAGAAAGTTCTCCAAGTATCGAATCACTTTTCGACTGAGACAATGTTTATTTGATGAGCACTAATTAATGATAGAAAATTTTAGAATGGTTTAGTTTTCCAGGCCTTCATGTGTGAGATATCGAAATTTTAGTGGATTTTTCAATAAAAATCTGTGGTTCTCCTCAGATTATATGAGCGAGTTTCGACTTCAAACTTCATACGATTTCTAATATCGCCTATTTTTGAGATATTCGATAGTGGAAATTCTCTCATGTATAAAAGCAAATTTTGTTCATATATTTACATCTCCAGAAAGAAGATACGAGAAAAACTAAAATTTTCTCGATCAAATAATCTTATTAAAAACTTTCTTCATGTAAAGTTTAATGTCGAAATTTGAAAGTTGATTTTTCATGTGATCTAAGAGGATTACAGCTGTTTGTTGATATCTCGAGAATGAAGAACTAGAAAAGCAAATCGTTCAAGACTTCTCTATTACTCTCTAGCACTCACCAAATGAACATTGTCTCAGTCGAAAAAGTGATTCGACATCCGAGAAGATTTTCTCGTGAGCCCATCCTAATACACCACTATGGCAACAGCTTTTTCTCTGAAAGACATGTCAAAAATGTATAAATTGCACAGAATTTTCGCAATCATAAATCTAACACTTTGAGATTTGTAGAATATCATGGATTTAGAACAATAGATATAGTTCAATACAGTCATAGCAATGAAATTCTAAAGACTTTTTAAATACCATCGTGGTAGTGTCAATTCTTTTTTATTCCTCATCGCCGTGCGACAGTTTTTTTTTAAACCACGATCAACATCTCTGATTGTTTTACAAGTCGTTGAACGAAGTTCATTCCTAAATGAGAGTCTACTAGAATATCTAATTCATATTTATCCAAAAAAAAATTGATATACGAAAGATGGCGTTAGTTATCACGTAGGAAAAGTTGGAGTGTATGATGTGTGAAGTCTAAAGAACATTTCTGTCCAATAAGATTCTATAAGAATATGTAGCGCTGTCGTCTCAATCTATCGAAGAATAATCTCGATTAAAATATTTTAATGATATTACTAAACACAAGCTATTATCAATACTTCCAAATATAACTTAATCGACATCTATATGAATGATGATTTAATTTATTGTTCGGTTTTAGATGTCTTCAAATACGAAAATTTCTTTACCAAACGTAAAACAATCTCGTTGGGGTCATCCACTTGTATTTGTTGCATCAGTTATTGGTCTTGCTGGTTCAAGTGCTGTCTATTATGCTCATATTCGTGCACGACAAAAAGCTCGAAGTATTTATTATCTTTTTTGTTTTGTTTTTTTTTATATTGAATTTTTCTATTTTAAGGTCTTTTTCTCGAACAATCATTTTATAAAGAAGCACTCGAATTAACATCTGGTTATAAACCAATAACTGAAAAACTTATTGAACCAATTCAACCACTTCAAATTGATACAACAAGTAAATTCAATATTCTTGGTCCTCTTGGAGCACAAGTAAGTTTATTATTGAAATTAGTTTTTTTTCTTTTTATTTTCTTTTTCGTATTATTAAATAAATATTCATATAAATCAATAGATAAGACTCAATAAAAAGTTCGAAGAACAGAGTCATTCCTAAATTCTAGATAAAATATCTAAAATCTCTTTAAAAATAAAATGCAACATGATGATGTTATCTGGTCTGTTCTTAATGGACAATTTTGTTCATATAAACAACAAAAATCAAAAACACAAATATTCTGTTCAAATGAATATAATTTAACTGGTTTATGTGATCGTCGTTCATGTCCATTAGCTAATTCACAATATGCAACTGTACGTGAAGAAAAAGGTATTTTATATCTTTATATGAAAGTTGTTGAACGTTCACATTATCCAAAAAAAACAATGGGAAAAAATTAAATTACATGAAAATTATATTCGTGCATTAAAACAAATTAATGAACATTTGATTTATTGGCCACGTTTTATAAGACATAAATGTAAACAACGTTTAACAAAATTAACACAATATATTATTCGTACACGTCGTTTAATGTTAAAAAAAACTGCTAAACAAGAATTAGTACCAATAAAAAAGAAAGCTGAAAGACGTGAACGTCGTCATGAAGAAAAAGCATTTGTTGCTGCAAATATTGATCGAGCTATTGAAAATGAATTGCTTGAAAGATTAAAAAAAGGAACTTATGGAGATACATATACATTTCCTGTTAATGCAATTTCAAGTAAGAATAGATTTTATTTTATTTTATTTTTGTATTCTATTTGACTTGTTTTTTTTTATTTTTGTTTATTATAGTGGATGAAGAAGATGAAGAAGTTGAAAGTGATGAAGATGAAGAAGAAAAAGAAAAAGAACAAGAAAGTGAAGAAGAAATTGAATATGTTGAAGATTTTGATGAAAGTGATGCTGAAGATATGGAAGATATGGGTGATGATATGAGTGATGAAGAAGAATTAATTAAATCAATTCCATCATCAAAGAAACGTTCACTTGAAATTGAATATGAACCGGCAGTAACAAAGAGTAAAGAACGTTTGAAACATCGACGACAACCGTCTTCGAATAGCGCCAATACGTGAAATACTCTTATTGTTTTTTTTCTTATGTTAAATAAAAAACCAAAAAGACCGGACAAGAAAAAGAAATTTTCTCTTTTTTTTATGCAAAAATGATATTATTTAGGTTGAAATACCTGTTCGAGGTGCTGAACGTGCCGGAATTATTTATTGTTATGCTACAAGAGATTCAGTAGCTGATGAGTAAGTCATTTTATTTTACATTAACAATTCAAATACAGTAAAACCTCCTTATATTAATCGGACTATAGTCTACTGAAGCGTGAATTATCCTAGGAATGAACCTTTCAAACATGAGCACCTTCTTAATACGACGAGAGAACGTTTCTAAGTGTCAAATTGTTGTTTTGATTCGGAACTATTTGCATCGTGTAGATTCCAATGAGTTATGAATACCCTAAAAAGAGTTCGAGATAATAGCTTATTACTACCGAGATACTGTAGCAGAATGCCGTGATCCTCTCAGGAAAACTTTATATAGAGATAGATCTTAACAAGAATTGCTTATTTTAAGAGTTTCAGAATTTTTGATTGTATCTATTTTGAAATAAGAAGATCAGGATTTGCCGCTATTGTATATGAGCAGTGGGAAAAACACGATTTAAACTATTTTCATTAAGGCGTCTCTATGCAAAGTTGCAAATCGAAATTCGAAACTCAGTTTTCGTGAAGAGAATCACGACATTCTGCTACAGTATCTCGGTAGTAATAAGCTATTAACCAGAATTCTTTTCAGGATATTCAGAACCCACATAATGCGCATAGTCTCGACTCAAGCGATTCGGTACTTTGAAAGGTTCCTTTGTGAGCGCTTATTTCTAGTCCGATAAACAATAATAACCTATGTATATATGTTCTATCTCTAACATCCAGAACGAGACAAAAAAATGATCATATGTCTATTGCATTATAACAAACGATCATGAGACACATACGAAAAGAAGGATGAATTAACTGTAGATAGAAAAAGAAAAATATTAGACAACAGTAATAGTAATATCTTGTTGTACTAGTCTTAACAGCTAGTAACATCAAATCAAGACGAGTTGATTACCTATGATTAAAACAAGTTGAATTAATTAATTATTGAAAAGAACAAAAAAAACCATCACCTTGTCTAGCCGAAAAGTCATTGCAACTAAAAAACCTTCGCAAAGTGAGCACTTTTAGTCAGTCCCTCATTAAAAAGGTTTTACTGTATTCACAAAAAAAAAGATCGTCATTCAATAATCTTTAAGTATAAAGCAAATACTTTTTTTTTTCATAGTATCGAAATACAATGACTCTTTAAATGATTATTAAAAATCGATTAACTTTCTTTGATACTATTCACAGTGAATATATATATCGAAAAGTATTTGCTTTCTATGATTATTGCAATAATATGATCGAATATTTTATTGAAATAAATTGATATTCTTTGTTTTCTTTTCTTTTCTAGTTGGCATGTAGACAAACTTGAATTTAAAGGTAGTAGTCAACCGCAACGTTTTCTTTTCTATGATCGAGCATTACGACGAACTTCACCATCAACAGAAAAATTAGAATAGGACTCTGTTTTTTTTTATTTAGAAAATAGAATAGTTTCAAGATGATTTGTCTTTCTCTGCTTCGTCGTTTCTAGATGTTAATCATCTTTTTTTTATCATTCCTTTTCTTTGTTTTTGGTGATACTTATAATTGGTCAGAACTTGATATTCCAATTGAACATGCAATTTATTTCTTTACAAATAATCCTTCTATACATAATCAATGTCTTATGGATAAAGATAAATGTCCATATTATGAACAAGCAAAAAATCTTCCATCATCTGATATAGCTTGTTGGGGTTATGAACCAAATTGTAAAAATAATGCATCGCTTATTCAATGTTCTGGTGATAGTCGAGGTTGGACAACAACGAAAGAAAAACAAATCAATGAATTTTGGCGAACAGCTGATTTTGGTTATATTGCAGAAAAACGTAATGAATTAAGAGAATTTTGTTCATCATCACTTGAATGTGTTGATCATTTACGTTTTTGTCGTGCTAAAAATATTTATATCGATTTTCGACATATTGAAACATCAAAACATCATGATCGTTATCGTGAAGATATACTTAAATATGGTGATATTGGTGGTAATTGTAAATTAAATCGTAATGATTTAATTAAAAATGGTGATCATAAAAGTCCATTACAAAGTTGGTTTTCTGAATTACAAGTTTTTATTGAAATTAATGATACAAATTTATTTAATTGTGATTTATATATAACTAAACCAACAATATTTATTAAACTTGATAGTGGATATAATATGTATCATCATTTTTGTGATTTTATTAATTTATATATAACACAACATATGAATAATACATTTACAAAAGATATACAAATTATTTTATGGGATACAAGTAAAAATGATTATTGGAGTTTTTTTTCTCATACATGGAATGCATTTACATCAAATCGTCTTATACATATTAAAGAATTTGAAGGAAAACGTATATGTTTTCAAAATGTTATTTTTTCATTTCTTGCTCGAATGTTTTATGGTAAGATGAAATTAAATACGTATGCATTTAAAAAGCAAAACATGAGAAAAAAATTTTGATATTCCGAATATTTTTACATAGTTGAATAGAGTTCGTCGAGCTGCAATCTTCGAAATATGAAAGAAGATCCTTAAAAAAAAAATTGTGACGGTGTTATTCGTGATCAACTCCACGAGCTTTATCCGACTATGTAAAAATATTAGAGTGTTAACATTTTTACTCATGTTTTGCTTTTGATACATTTTATGTTTTTTTTATTTTATTTTAAATTATTTTTGTTTTAAAAAAACAAAAGGTTTTTATTATAATATGCCACTTATACCGGGTTGTACACAAACAAGTTTATTTCGTTCATTTCAACAATATATTATTCATCGTCTTCGTATACCACAATTAGGTCCATTAAAATCAAATCAAATTCGAATAACATTATTGAATCGTACAACACAATTTCGACAGATTTTAAATGCTAATGAAATTATTCAACATTTAAGAAATATTTCAATGAATGAAAATAATGATTATTTAATTAATGTTGTAGATTATAATATTAATATACCATTTATTGAACAGCTTAATATTACACATAATACAGATATTTTCATGGGTATGTTTCTTTTTTTTTTTTATGGATACAAAAATATTTTTAAAAAATTAATAATCATTAGTATATGAATATATTTTATTTTAGATACTTCTTGAAAGAAAGAAAAAAAGATCCTATCAACTGTTGAGTATATATATATATTTGTGATTTACAATGAATATACTAATCGGAGATGATAAATTACAAAATAATTTAATATTTTTGCAAGAACTAAACACGAAAACTTTATTAAATAACAATTCATTATTGAGATGAGCCTTACCGAGAGTTGTGCGGAACTAGGAATAAGAGTAAAAACACTCTTGCAACTAGAGCTGAAGATTATAGTTAAATATTCTGTAGTTTTTAAACAAATTATCTTATCCTAATCGTCAACTAAATAAATAAAAAAAACCAAGTGTTCAAGAATTTTTTTAAATGGGATACGAATAAATTCTGGAATAGATTTCCTTAGATTGAAACCAAATAAGACTTACCGAGAACACTAGAAATGGAGTTACCCAGACCAAAAAAAATTGATTCTGCACAGTGTTTTATCCAGACTTTAACTTCGGAAGGGTGAACAGCTGTTTTGGGGAGCATAGACACATAGTACGTGCTACAATAGCTATAAATTCGAGGAAAACTAATTCGATTTTCGGAAGAGCGCCACCATTCAGTTCTCATACTGAATGAAAAAAACTAAACTCGAAAGTGCACTTGATTGTGATCTAAATGTAATCACGAGATTTTATCGAAAATCTCAGTAAAATAACTAGAATTTATGAAGAAAGACTCATGGACACGAATCTTTTTTTCTAAGACTTTCTCTCGTTTCAATAGAGCTGACATAATGAGAGTTGACAAGAATTTTTTCATCAGCGATTCTATCAAGATAAATATTCTCTGAATGTATTATGCATATCAACTATCAGACATATTGCTCATAGAGTAGTTTCATCTAATTTTCTAGACAACATTGTTTTTTAAACTTTGTGCTTAATCGATTGTTTGATTTTGAATGAATAATTTTAATCAAAAATCAAATTCATAACCAGCTGTTTGTTTTTTTTTCTTTTAAATGTCAATATTTGAAATATATATATTGTTATATTTTCTTCTTAGGAATGCATGGTGCTGGTTTAACTCATTTACTTTTCTTACCAGATTGGGCAACTATCTTTGAAATACATAATTGTGAAGATCGAGATTGTTATTTAGATTTAGCTCGTCTTCGTGGTGTTAAATATTTTACATGGGAAAATGATGCTAAAGTTTATCCACAAGATGAAGGAAAACATCCAACATTAGGAACACCACATAAAAAATTTACAAATTATGCATTTGATAAATATGAATTTGCACGTATTGTACGTAAAATGGTTAAATATGTTAAAGAACATCCAGCTTATCGTTCTGCAAAACGAATGAAATATTCTACAATGAATTCTATACCGACATTACAAGTTGAACAACGAGATACAAAAACAAGCAAAGATGAATTTTAAATTTTCTTGATTGTTTTTTTTTTTGTTGTACAATCTCATTTATGAATTTCTTTTTTTTTTGTTTTTACAACGAACTTTTCTTTTGTGATAACACAAAACATCTTTTTTTTTTCTCTTCTATCAAAAATTAATCAAAGGGTGCTATTTTACCGAATATTGTTGTAAACCGATTATTATGTATAATAATATTTTGTTTCGTTTTTTTTTTTGCTTATCAGGGGACGAATAGAAAATGTTATTAATATGTTTTAGATTGCTTCCATAATGGCTGATGATGATTTAATGAGTGATGATGAACAACTTGATGTACGATTTTGTTTGTTGTTTTCTTTTTTTTAGTTTTTGTTTGAATATTGTATTTGATTATTTTAATAGGTTTCAAATAATATAAAACATATTACATCGATTCGATTAGGTCAAGTTGATATTGATTGTTGGTTTGATTCACCATATATTAATGTGGAAGATGGTTCAAATGAAAAAGATCGTAGCATTGAAAAATTATATATTTGTGAATATTGTTTACGATATTTTCTTAATAATCGAAAATATCGACAACATATGGTAAAAATAAAATTGTTTAGAATCTTCTAGAAGATAATAATAAGTCAATAAGGAATTTAAGCATGTTGTATTAGTATTAATTAATGCTAACATATTGACATTAATTAATTCTAATGCAAATAAAATATCAAAGCATTAGGATTAAATTTAATACTAATGCCTAAAGAATTAGCATTATTCTAATATTAATGCTAATCTAGTATTCCTAACTAGAAATATGTTAAATCTATATTCGTTCTTGAACTTGTCAATAGAAAATTTCTAAAATTAAATATTTAATTTTAGAATGAATGTAATCGACGGTATCCACCCGGTCGTAAAATTTATGAACATCCTGATGGTCTATCTGTATATGAAGTTGATGGAACTACTTCACAGGTAGATTCAAATAGAATTCATATATTTTATTATAGTCTATTGTTTTTTTAATATTTTAAGCTTTATTGTCAATGTCTTTGTTTATTAGCGAAATTATTTCTTGAACGAAAAACAATTTATTTTGATGTTAATCCATTTCTTTTTTATGTTCTTGTTGAATCTGATAAACGAATAAAAAATGTTCAACATATAATTGGATATTTTTCAAAAGTAAACATCATCAATTTAATTTTATTTATAAATGGATTTTTTTTCTTTATGAATTTTGTCTAGGAAAAACTTAGTGATGAATTTTATAATTTGGCATGTTTAATGGTAAAGCAAAACAATACAACATTTTATTCTATTGATTAAATTTATGTTATTAGGTATTACCACATCGTCAACGGCAAGGTTTTGGTCGATTTTTAATTGCATTAAGTGAGAATAGTTTTTTTCTTATCTTCGAAAGATATATTATTAAATAAGATTTTAGGTTATGAATTAACAAAATTAGAAAAGAAAACAGGTTCACCAGAAAAACCATTATCAGCACTTGGTCAAATGACATATAAAAGTTATTGGCATTCAACAATTTTATCAAAACTTGACGAATATCACCGTTTACAAATACATGTTACTGTTACAGAACTCAGGTTTATTGATTTTGTTAAAAAACTAAGGGAAATAATAAAATTTCTTTGTTTAGTATGGAAACTGGAATATGTATTGAAGATGTTGTCCAAACATTAATTGATCTTCGTTTAGCACATACAAAAAATTCAACAAATGAGATTAATTTCAAACAACCAGAAGTACGGAATCGTCGTCGTCATCATCATCATCAATGTGATAATAATAATAATAATCTTGATGTATCATCTGTATTAATCATTGATGTTGATGCATTACGTACAGCTCTTAATAATCTATCAACAAGTAATTTATCATCAAAACATAATCAAAATGCATTTGATTCAACATATTTACGCTTGATTAGTAGACGATAACAAAACAAAAACGAAATACAGAACCAATTTTTTGTTTTTTTTTCTTGAAATTATTTTGTATATAAAAAGAAAACTATCTTCATATTGATTAAAAATTCTATTTTTTTTTATTATTTTGTATATACGAAAAGGATTATCAATACAATACTCGAAAACGTAGATAAGCGTGAGTATTCCTTATAAATAAATGTATTATCAAATGATTATTATTTTCTTTTTTTTGTGAAAATTCATTTTATTTTATTTCATAAAAATAATTAATAGAAAAAAAATATTGAAATATATTATCAGCTGTTATTGGAAGTTTTTATTCTTTTTGCATAGCCAATATTGATGTCTAAAAAATAAAAAAAACATCCCATTAATGATTATTATATTCATTATCTAACAAGCCTGTTAACATACTAAATTTCCATCTGAATTCTCTTCGTCCGAAGATATTACGCATACATTAATTTTTCCTTGACGATATCGTTCTCGATATTTATGAATATACATAAATATTGCATCACATACAATATCAGCTATAACCATAAAACCAATACCAGAACCTATTATAAATTTAAAAAAAAATGAATCTTCATATTTAAATAAATATAAAAATTAATTTTGATATACCAATAGCAACAAATAAATTAACTATATCAAATTTTCCACCTTTTCCTGATATAGCAACAATAAAACGTAAACCATAAATTTTTGATAATGTTCGATATTCTGTACCATTTATACGATATTTTTGAGCTGATCTGTACAAAAAAACAAATGAAAATATTTGTTTTTTTTCTTTTTTTGAAATTTTAATTTTTCTAATCCTACCGATAATTAATACCAGGAGATAGTTTATCATCACCACTTTGTAATACATTAAATTCAAGTTTTGGAAAACAATAATCTTTATGAAAATCAAAATTACATGTCCAATCTTGACGAATTTCAATTAAACCACCCTATATCATAATATATATTAAATAGGATTTTTTTTGTTTGAATATAAAGTTTTATTAAATATGATTTACTTCACGTAGAAGAGCTGATTTATTTGTATTAAGACTATCAAGAATATCACCAATACGAAGAATAGGACAATGTGGATCGTTATCTTTATGATATCGACATGTAAAATTAGTTGCATCACGAACATTTCTCCTAGAAAAAAAAAACAAAAGATCAATATGAATTTTATTAATTAAACTTATAATCAAAACAAACAAATTGATATTGAATAGTGTAAATGTCACCATTGTTTTTAAATAAATTGTAAAATTTTCCATATCATCCTTGTTCATTATAAATTCACTTAAATAAATAAAAAACTAAATTTTAGAAAATTTTATTAGAAAAAAAAAAAGTTTCTTCTTTACGTTGATTGTGAAAGTTCTTCTGGACACCAAGCATGTATTTCACAAACATTTATAGAAGCATTTTCAAAAGTTGGTACACAATTTCCCGTAAAATAACCTGGATATGTCTCATATTAATAACATTACATCAACAAATAAAATCTACTCACCAAATGTATTTGGTGTTGGTTGACCTGCTGGACATACATCTGATTCTGATGAATTACAAAATAATTTATCTTCTAGTGCCTATGTACAACAAAAAAAAAGATAAGATTTTCTATAATAAAATCTTTTCTTCTATATACACTAGGACAATCGCCTTCTGTTTGATCATAAGTAACTATTTGCCGTGTAGTAATAAAAAATGCATTATTTTCCTAGTATAAAATTTATATTAATATGCACACATAATTGATTCAACATACAAGTGGAGGCATTTGATATTCAGCTGTATCCCATAAATGTGTTTGATCTGCGTCTTAATTATCAAAAATTTATTTTTTTATTTTTTTATACAAATTCGTTATCTTTTTTTTAACATACGCACGAATCGTATTGTTTCATTGCCTGCTACTTTAGCAATTCCTTTTACTTTAATTATACTTGTTCCACGTGGTTCTTGAAATTGTTGATATCCTTGTTTAAGCCAAACAATATAACTAAAAAATAAAAAATTTCATATTCAACTTTGTTTTCTTTTTTCAAAACAAAATTTGTTTTTTTCTTCTTTACAGTGCTATATAAGCAAAAATAATTAATTGAATTAAACGATAAACAATTGCAATAAGTGTATTTGGTACTTGAACCACTTTGACCGTTGAATAAGTGAGAAATACATCGGACAGAAAAGAACAACAAACTTTTCTCCCTAAAAAATTAAATTAAATTATTATGATTATATATAACAAAAGAATCATTCTCACTTGATATCGCCATGGTCTTCTCACAAATGCAACGAAATAACAAAAATAAAACAACAAACTCTATATGTCAGTATGTCAACAGAGTCTTATCGAAGATCTCAAAGGAATATTATATTATGAATTTCATTTTATTTTTATCATAGGACAAAGTATAATAAATTTCATCTTTCTTCACTAAAGAATATATACAGGTTGATTACGTTATTTTTAATAGTTTTGTATAGTTTGCTGTATTTATGCAATACATTGAAAAGTTCTTATTTTAACACAGTTGGATAGAGTATCGGCTGCGCTATCAAATCATATAATTTGCTTTTTACTTTCTCTAGCTCTAGTCCAAAAAATTGACGAATCTCAAACAACTATGAAGAAAAATTTTTTAGGGTTCTTGACATGATTTTTAATAGTTTTATTTTTCACATATATAAACACAAAAAGAGTGCAGTTATAAACGACGTTCAATATGAGAACTTCGAGCCTTACATATCATTAAAACTCTCTTTGACCAGGAAGCTAATACTTTATTGATATACGTTTGACTCATTTTTCTCCACTCATGCAGAAGCTTTTTGTAAAGTTCACCAAGAGAATTAATATGTGTTCTATTAAGTTGTTCTAAATATCCTCATATTGAATGACCCATTGGTGCGCCATCAGGACTGCTAGGCATCCTTTCCCCTTGCTTAAAATAATAAATTTTATTTTCATTCAAAAAACCAATTGTTCTTTTGAAAGTATAGCTTGGTGCCGAGTCTTAATGAAAAAGCCCCTTTATTTTTTATGTTTTTGGAAATAAACGTGCAACGTATCGTGTTAAAAATAGTTTCAAAACCTTGCCAATATAATAACGAGTCGATGAATCTTCAACGTCAACTTTCTTATTGACCTTTGTCATTATCTACGTGGTTTGGCATGGTTTTTTTTGAAAAAAATTAATTTTTGGATTCAGAATTTCGCTGACACTCGATCTCTCGCTTGACATTTGACACAGTAGGTTGATTCTACTAAGCTTCAAAATGATCAGAATTCGAGGCTGGGCGTATCTTTGGTGTAATAGTTGTAGAATACGTCCTTCGACATTGTCAGAAATTTTATTACGGAGCATTTATTAAAATGAACTTTAACGAGTTGAATAAAAGAAGAAGACTACAACTGTCATAAACAGAAAAGAAAAAAATTGTTCAATATATAATGTGCACGTGTTATCGAGAATACTATTAAGCATAGCACGAGCAATCTGTATGTGAAAAATAAAACTATTAAAAATCATGTCAAGAACCCTAAAAAATTTTTCTTCATAGTTGTTTGAGATTCGTCAATTTTTTGGGCTAGAGCTAGAGAAAGTAAAAAGCAAATTATATGACTTGATAGCGCAGCCGATCCTGTATCCAACTGTGTTAAAATAAGAACTTTTCAATGTATTGCATAAATACAGCAAACTATACAAAACTATTAAAAATAACGTAATCAACCTGTATATATATATATTAAACAAGGACAAAAATCAAACATTTTGAAATCTATGAAAAATTTATTATAAGTAATGAAGGAGAATGACTAAAAAATAATGCGAAATAGAATAAAATAAAAAATATTAATTTTCACACTTTTTTCATTCATTGACAATAATGATTAAACTAAAATATGAAGAAATAGATCGAAGAATAAATTCAACGTTAAAATTATATATCAAATATATTTTATTTTAATAATAATATCATAGAATTCAGATAAGACGGCATCTGTAATTTAGTAGACTAGAAAGAAATTTTTCTTGTTCAAACAAATTTCATTTTTAAATGATGAGAATCTATATAAAAAAAATGTACTTTAAAGATAAAGATTTTCATGAGATGACATAAGAGTGAAAGGATGATTAGGTGTGAGTATGTGCCTTCTTCTTATCTACACTCACATCTAATCAGTGCTCAGCAACTACAAAGTTTGAGTTCTGTAGCTTTTACTACGAATAAGAAATTGTAACAACACTCTCACTTATTATTTTATCCATTTTTCAATAACGTTAATTAATAAATTTTTTCAACAATAGCAAATTTTTATCGATTAATAGTTCAGAATGCATTAGATTACAAAGCTATAAGAAAATAATTTTTACGGATGACATATAAGCAAAAATCTATCATTGAATATGTTTCTATCAATCAAATCAAATCAGAAGAGTTGTATTGCAAAATTAGTTGACGTGTAATCTATAGAAAACATTTGGAATGTATTGAAAGAAAAATTACAAAAGCAAGAATACAAATAATATTAAACAACTGGAAAACGAACATTAAAATAGAATGATAAAAATTTGTGTATGTCTTTATGTTAATAAATGATAGATAAAATATGAATACCATTAAAAATTAATAATCGGTCATGATAATAATTAAATGCACTTATATGAATAACTTTATGTATGTTTCGTTTTATTTTGATTTATAAATATTAACCAAAGAGGTCGAGAAAACTAATCAAATAGTATATGATAGTATTGTTTAAAGATGTGCAGCATAGGATAAGGTAAAAGTTAAAAAAATTTTCTCAGTCAAGGTATAGGGTAGAGTTCGTCGGGTCCAAAATTTTCAGGTCTGGACCAGCCCAACGGACTCTACTATAGAGTTTTTAAAAAAGCTTATCCTATACATCTCTAGTGTTATTACAATATATTAGATGTAGCAAAAGGTTATAGGCCTGAAACTTTGTAGTTATTTAATACTAAGAAAGCACAATAATATGTCAAAATTGAAAAGAATTTGTTTTTGTCAAATGCAAGAATGATGAATTTTTGAAATCGTTTCAGAATATCTAAGACATACTTTATATATAGTTTACGATTTATCTTTCATCTATTTTCTTATTCATTCTTACACTCTGAGACATACAAATAAAGAATTAATTAAATTATTATTAAATCAAAATCATGTATATAGACTTTGTATGCATTTAAAAAATAAAAGAAGTCCTTCGAAAATATTTGCAATGTCGATTTATATTTTAATTCTTCGACACATACAGTAGTATACATTTATTTTCATGTTAAAATTCATTTATAAGAAAAAGGTTATGTTCTTTTTTTAACTATATGTCATGCTACTACCAATTTCTATTTTTTTTTTCTTATACAATGCCATAACTATTCTCATCAACCATAACAAAAATAAAGAAGAATTTGTTTGTTCAATCAATATTTATAATAGAGACAAGCTGATTTTAATCTAAAGAAGTCACTCACCTGATTCAAATATATTTGATATTATCATTTTTCCAAAAACGAAATAAATTCGACAAGTCGAAGAATTAATATGTATATATGTACAAAAAGAAAACAAATATGTAAATCAACATTTACCCTTTAATAATAAAATAATATAAGTGGATTAGAAAGAAAAAAAGAAAAGATAAGGAAACACATGCCATTTTATCACACTAAATAAATCATACTAAATATTACATTCTTAATCATGACGAGATTCTATTGTTCTTAAATAAATATCTTAACCTCTGAAAAAAAAAAAAAAGAAAATCAATATTATTTATTTCAAGATAACATCGAAGTTACAATCGTCGGACGAGTTTTTATTCGTGAATATTTATGTAACGAAGAACGAGTAATAGATGATTTTGTTTTTGTATTTTTTTCGAAAAAATTTAATTTAATTTGTTTTTGTTTGAATGATAATAAAGAATTTTCATAATAATAAATATCAGTTAATTGATTTTTAAATTCATGATAGCGTTTATCATTTAATGCATTCATTTGAATAATATTATTTTCACGTTGTGACATATATAATAAATCTTTTATAGTAAATTTATTTTGATTTTCTTTTGTACGTAATTCATAACATAAATGACGTGCAGATTGATTTAATGATGAATCAAAAAATAATAAAGCTGATATTGATTGTGGTAAAAATAAATAATTTGATAAATCATTTAATTCAGGAATTTCTTGTATAAACTGTGGACGATTAATAAATAAATCAATTAATGGTTCAAGATTTTCATTAGTTGAAAGTGGAAATTTTAAACGTTCAAAATTAATTGGTTTACGTAAAAAATATTCACTTCCTATTTATTAAATAGTTTTTTTTTTCTAAGAAAAAGAAAATAAAAAAATTTAATTTACCAAGAAAAACTAATGGTAAAGTTTTATTTGAAATTAATGTATTTGAATACATATATAGGACATTTTTTTCTATATGATTATTTCGATGAAAAAAATAACCAGAAGAAATAATTCTAAGATTTGGATAGATAAAATTAGCTGATGATTGAACAAAATCCAATGAAAGTAAATAAGTTAATTGAGTACGTTGTCGAAATTCAATTGTTAAATTATCAATACTTGATGATGAATCAAGATGATCATTAGAATAAATACTTGATTGTTTATTGAAATCTTTATTAGATGAAGTTTTTTCTGGTTTACTTATATTAGAATTTGAAATAAATGATTCCGAATATTTTGAAATTTGAATATTTTCATTGATTATAGATTTATTGTAGATTGATGATAGACTCTTATGTGGTAGTTTCTTTTTTGTCAATGAAGCCAATGAAATATTTTTTATACTATAAATAAATATAGATAAATCAAATATTTCGAAGTTCAATTATATATATGAAATTAAATTGAAATCATTTAAAAGAAACATTCTATTGCTTTCGAAAGTTATATCACTCATTTTGTCTTGAGAATTATTTTTCCAATTTAACGAGAGAACTAACCCAAGTGACACCCACCGTTCGTGCTCATATTGGATCTACAGACAGCACTCAGTAAGAATAGCAAAAGGCTAAAAGTGTTTGTCCGCCAGTTATGACCAGTTTACTAAATTTTTGACCCATTTTTAGGTACTCCCTAGAAGACCGATTAGCGGAGTTTTGATCCAAAATTTAGTCTATAAATAGGCCTAATAACTCTTAGATTATCCTAAAATTTTCAGTCGAAAAGAATTTTCCTTCGTTGAGTGATTGAATTTTCAAACAAACTTGTTTTTTATGATATGTCTGTAGCAAAGCAGCAGCTACCAGGACTTATTTTTTCTGGATTTATTGGGATTTTTCAATAAGTCCGTAAGCACTTTGAGATAAATCCCATACAGTTCCTCGCTACATACAGAGTGTGGATGAGGGTGTGAGTGTGAGTATGGGTGTGGGTGTGAGTATGGGTGTGGGTGTGGGTGTTGATGTGAGTATACTGGGATAGCATCAATATTAATATATCAGAATAAATCCTCAATAAAGAAATAAGTCTGCTAGAAAGAATAAATCCCGAAAAAATAAGTCCCGGTAGTCCCTCGATGAGTTAGATATCTAATAAGTTAACTGGATATAATCGTTATCGTACATAGCGTTTTATCTAGATATTCTCGTTCAGAGAAGCGGTTTCAAACTACGGGAGAGCCAACCCAATTTTCGGAAGTGCACCACCTCTCATCGGCTCTCATTCTAGATAAAACACTCATCGTGCATTATTTCTGTTTTTTTTTGAAAGGAAAAAATCCTATGTGTATAATAAGCGTTACAGTTAAAAATCACTTTTCTTTAAATTCAGCTCTCTTTAAATTGTAATACTTTTTTAAACTGCTGTCATAAACTGTTCTGCTCTGAAAGTTCTCAATATACCACATCTTAATCGATGTTTTTTTTAATATTCGATTTATTTTTCTAGTCTTAATGATTCTCAACACAAAAGAGAATAATTTTCATAAGAGTATAGTTCATCGACAATGTCAATTATTTCCTATAGGTAGGATTCTTTCGTTTCAAAGACAGAATTAATATATACAACAACTATTATATCTAGTTAATGTATTAGAAATCCTATACATCGTATAACAATTTCAATATAGTTTTGAAATGTGAATTAATTGCTTGAGTTACTCATAGTTCATCATCTCATTTTTAACCATTAAAATATTAATGACTAATTTGCTTTTAAATATGATAGACACTTCTAGACTAATAACTTCCTTACTAAATGAGTTAGACAGATCCATTTATCGTCATTTTGAAGAGTGCGTTTTATTCTTCATTTTCTCTATAAGGACAATTCTACAACAAGATTTTGTTAGACAAAATGTGTCAGGACTTCTAATCCATTATTTATATTTTGTATATAACAAATCTCTTATGTTATAAAACACTGATTTTTTTTTTACCAAATTCTATTTATCAGGAACATCATCCTTCAAAAAGTGAAATTAACGTTTTATTTTGAAAATTCGTATAAATTTTTCAATTTTATATTGTTTAGAGAATATTTTTTCATTAGGTTTTGCATGATGTAAAAGACCTCTTTTGTTTATAATATAATTTGACGTCATGAAATAATCAAATAAAGAAAGTCAATTCTCTTGTATTGAAAAAAAAAAATTTTGTCACCTACGGTAATATCATTTGATTACGATTGATTGAATTAGTTGGTTTTAATCGATTCAATGATCTGTTGTCAATATCAATCATCATTAATTAATCAAATAAAAGATAAAAAAATCTTTTCTTACATCCAACTTCTGGCGCCGGATGTTCTATAATTGATTAAAGAAAGTAAATAATTGAGAGACAAAAAAATACAGAGAAAGACATTTCAATTTAAACATATACACGTACATTAATTGACAAAAAAAAAAAAGAAAACGACAAGCAAGCAAAAATAAATACATAAATAAACATGAGGAATACTTTTGTTTAAAATTCATGAAATTCTTTTTCAAATAAATTAATCGATGAACGTTCAGGCTCTTCATCTTCAGCATCAGGAAAATTATTTGCACGAGTATCTGGTAGCCATGGTGCACGAAGTTTTCTTAAAAATATCTGTAACCAATCAATATCACGAAACCAAGCATGTTTTTTTATATCACTAACACCATTAAACATCATACCAAGTCTTTTTGTTAAATCTTTTTGTAATAAACCACGTATGAGATCAATTAAATTATCTGTAAACGCTGAACGAGGTCGAAATTTTCCATTGATAATTTTATGATAAATTTTTTGCTGATCAGAATCCTAAAAAAGACAATAAAAATTTAATAGAAAGAAAAAATATTAATTAATAAAGTCTATACCCAAAATGGGGAATAACCAGCATTCATTTCAAATACCAAAACACCTAATGCCCAATAGTCAACTAGAAGCAAAAAAAACCTTAGTCAGACATCAAGAAAACTTGTTGTTTTTTTTCTCTTATACCTCCCATATTATAACCACGACCAAGGATAATTTCAGGTGCAAGAAATTCAGGTGTACCACATAGAGTATATGCTTTTCCACGATCGATTTTTTTAGCAAAGCCTAAACAATACACAAGTTTTCATTTTTAAAGAAAAGATAAAAAGATTTAATATTACCAAAATCACACATTTTTATATAACCATAACGATCGATGAGCAAATTTTCCGGCTAAAACAAATGAAAAAAGTTTTAGAGAAAAATAGACAATAAAAAATTAATTATACTTTGAGATCACGATAAACAATACCCAATAAATGTAGGTATTCAAGAGCGAGAATAATTTGAGATGCATAAAATTTAGCTTTTTTTTCTTCAAATCGTTCTGAATCACGTAAATGTCGAAATAATTCTCCACCTTCAATTAGTTCAAGACCAATATAAAGATTTGCATTGTCTTTAAATGAAAAATAAAATCGTATTATGAATGGAAAATTTAATGCTTGTAATATTCGTTTTTCATTAACAACATGTTCTTCTTGTTTCATTTTATGTGCACTTTTTTTATTAATAATTTTAAGTGCAATACGATAATATGTTCCTGTTGGATCATTAGTAGTTGTTCGTTGAAGATAATCTGGTAATGGATCACGTATACATTTAACTTCTTTAACAGAACCAAATGCACCACGTCCAAGTGGTCGAATTACTTGAAAATCACGATAGATTAATTGAAATGTAGTTGGTATTAAATAGCGATTGTCAAATTCTTCACGAGCTTGTTTATAACATTCACTCGGTATACCTCCTGGTGAAGGCAATGATGAACTGCTGGACGATGACGTACCTCCTCCCATTGTGACATGCGTAAGAAGACCTAGAAAAATGTCTCAAGTTAATAATATAACAAGGTTGTAGTGAGTACAAAGAATATTTTTGGGAGACTATTATATTGTGTCCGATAATGAATTATATCTTATCTTATCATGAGTTATGAGTAAAAACAAAAAAGAAACGACAAAGAGTATATTTTGGTGGTTGAGTAAAACTTATAGATAAGTAGAATCATTTGCACTGTAAAACTATGATATAACAGTTTGTCTAAGTAAATCCAAAGAGCGAATGAATATTATGAATAACAATCGACAACCTTGAATTATAAAATCTGGCACTTAAAAATGATAGGAAAATAAAGTTTGTTTTGTTACATTAATAATATGAAGCTCTATACATAAGTATCTAGTTGTTTTTATTCAATTACTAGTTTTCTTAAGCATTTCTATACACCAAAAAAGCAAGAGAATTTTTTGTTTTGTTTTTTTTTGTATGTCGTTCTTTTTTTTTTTTGTTATTGATCACGTACTGTCTTAAGTCATTCTACTATCTTAAACTAAGTTATTTATAACTTTCAACAATATTATAAAATCCATCAATTTATTATTCCATATAGAAATTATGAACATCAAATTTGCATTAAACATTATATAGAATAAAACATCTTGGTATTTTTATCTTAATATTGAAACAAATAGAACTAATTAAGATGATTCCTGTAAAAGTTCGATATTCTTGACTCGATAACAAATTTTCGAAAGATTAGAATGATTCTTATTCTTTATTAAACAAAATTTCATTTAGACAATAGAAGTAAAAGGAACATTATATGATAACGACATTAAAATGCTAATATAGCATTAAAACAAAAAAGCTGGGTGAGGTTTTTCTTTTTGTTTTGTTGTGCTAGTTCTTATACCCTCTAATCATAAGAAAAAAAAATGCTAGACGCTATTTTATTTTTTTTAATTTTCTTATCAAACTATTTCCTGTCGCGAAGGCTAAACTATTAAAAAAAAATTATTAAATGTAAAAAAGAAAAAAAAACTATTTTTTTTTTGCTAATAATAATCAGAACAACTATATCAATCGATTATACGACTCATTAAAGGAATGAAAAGCAAATAAACTTAAATAGATGATAATCTCAAAACTAATCTAGTTCATTTCAGTTTCTTAAGTTACAATGATGAAAGACAATAGTATAGTAGACTGAAAAAAACAAAGTTTGCCTGACTATCTAGCTTGTCACGCATTTCTCAAACCAACAATATATATATATATTTATATGCATTCCTTATCAAAGACTTACTACGCTTCTTCTTAGATGATCACTAAGCACAGAAACACAATGAATAGTAGCAACTCCAACAGCCACAGTTCATGTTGCCTACATCATCATCATCATCATCATCATCATCATCATTTCTCTCTTGAATTACTCAACAAAGCAGTTCTTTTACTACTGCACATCACTCAGTCCAAGAAGGAAATTCATGCACGCATACGCTCTTCCCTATAATTTAACTGAACAATATAAGAAACACTGAATGAAAGAAAGAAAAAGAAAAACAATATTGTTAGTGCTATTGTTGTTCTTTTTTAGGTCCATAGAGAAAAGAAATCTTTCGTTCAACTGATCTAAATAATCATTACTTATGAAGAAGAGCGATCATAATGAAACAATAGAACCTCTTTAAGAAAAATATACGTTTGGGAATGTCTCGGCAATGAAATCTAAATCACGATGAGTACATAGAAAAAAAATCTTGTATATTTCTTGTCTTACTTTATTTTTGCTAAAAGAAATATTGATCACTTTCTTCTTCTTCTTCTTCTTCTTCTTCTATTTTTATTCTCTTGTTCATTAGTATTTTTACATTTGTTTTTCGAATAAATCAATGACGTTGTAAAGAAAATAATTGAAATTAAATTTCATAATAAAGAGAAATGAAAAACAAAATATATACAAGTATCTTTATGTATGTATTACAGTATGATGTATTAGTTGTTTTGTTATGCATATTGACAACCTTCGGTAAAAGAAAGGAAGAAAAAGAAAAAGTGAAAACGAATCTCTCTTTTTTCTCTTCTTCTTCTTCTTCTTGTTCTTTTTACATGAAGACTTTCTTTTAATTATATCGTGTAAATCATCATTCCTTGAATGGTTTCTTTATTCTATTGTTCTTCATATTTTTATACTCACATATACACAATAGAGGGAAAAAAACGTATTGTTTAGAACGAAGTGCACTCAGTATTCATCTATGTTGCCCTTGTTCATATTTAAATATTATTGTGAAAGCTATTGGATTTCTAATTATTCGAGTTAATAATAGACAAAATAACAAGCAGTGTCCTTTGTTTTTTTCCTATATCAAGGGTATAAAATAAGTTGTAATTTCCTTAAGCAATATTCTTGTCTTGCACGAATATATATATATATATATTGTTCTTGGTTGATATTTATAGTTTTATACACTACACATCTGGATCTATTCTATGCTAGAGTTTTCATCTTTCTGTATATTATTGTTAATGAACTATAAATAATGTCAAAATCAAAAGAAAAAAAAACATGTTTCAATTAATTTTGGAATTATTAGTGATTGAAAAAAAAATTGTAGTTGTTCAAAGACTAGATTATTAGAAGTGACTTGTACGTTTTACAAATCAGTCATGCATGACTGTTATTAGTGCACGATGTTATATATAGAGAAAAAAAAAGTGCCCGACGGGGTTTTTTTTTCCTGTGCTAATAATAATACAAAGAAACAACGAAGTGTATGAATGAATTATATGAAAAGTCAAATGATTGCCATTGTGATTGAACAAATGAAAGAAAAATTACTAGTGTTATGAATTAAGTTATAATTCTTCTTCTTCTTCTTTTTTTTGTGTGTTTTCAACTAAATAAATCTTAGCGACGAAGTAATTAGAATGTTGTAGAGTATACCCAGTAATCTATACTGATAAACAGTTAAAAGCTATGTAAGATAAGTAAAAATGTTGATTAATTGGTAGCCAATGATAGATCAAGGTCAAAATCAATATATATGAAAACATTGATATATGAATTTTCATTACTTCTTTTCTTTAAGAAATTCGATTTAGAAAATGTCCCTTGAAGCAATACTCTTTTAATGTAACATGAAGAATAAAATATCATAATATATTTCTAAAAGTAATTTAAAATATTCTATAATATTGACACTATTTGTATCATTGTAATAATATAAATGCTAAAAACTAAATGTCTAACATAGATTTTTATCTAGATGTCGAGTGCATGTACGATAAATATCATGCGCTAATAATATAGACTCATGCGAGAATAGAGTATTGCTTGAAAAAAATCAAAACATATTTTACTATCCTTATGTTTCTATATGCATGCCAACATCAGATAGACAAGAAAATAGGAGAAAATAGCAAACGAGCCAATGGTACTTGACGCACACTAAGTGGCTGACTTCCTGTATGCCGTCCGGCGTAAACCCATACACACATCTGTATATTTATATATTGATATATGTTCATTAACTTACAGGGAGTACGATTGAGTGCGAGTAAACGTTGATAGCGTTCATCAAGTTGACGATTGATTGTCTGATAATTATGAAGACGATAGTTATTTGCCATGATATATTGGACTGAGGACAACAAAATACTATCTGTCGAGAATGTTTATGAAAATATGCTGTTTTTAATGTGTGTACATATGTATTGATATTCCTTTTTTTTTAAATGTAACTTGTTCTATTCTTAGTCATTAATGGAATTTACGATTATTCATCGAATTTTATTGTCTATTATGTTATCGAGCTCGACTAATGAGAGACATTGCGATGACGACTACGTGACAACATATACATATAAAAAAAAAAAAGAATATGCAGCGAAAAAAAGCAAAAATATTCTTTATTGAAATATGGCATCTATAAATCGATGTGTGCACCGAGTTATAAGTGGTTCATAGAATATCTATTAATGAAAAGTCACCTATTCATCTTATTTAAATGTGATGCATACATATAAATAATAGAGCAAAAAAAAGCAACTGACATTCTTTTATATTATTAATACATGATAGAAAATATCTTGAAAATTTTTTTTTTTACCTTTAAATGGCGAATCTTTGAGCTCGTCTATAATATGTTGAGTAGGTGGTGCTCCTTGTGTATTTTGATGTTCACGTTTAAATGATCCATGTGATACAAGATGTCCTTTCATTCGTTGTAAAATTGATTCATGTTGTGATTCTTCATTTCCATCTGATGCTGTATCATCTTTATTTGAACGATTATCAACTGTTTCATGATCATTTGACTTTGTTTCTTTAGTTTTACTACCCAATTTTGATACAATTTTATCGAATTTTTTTGCTAAACTATTACTCATTGTAAACGATTATGTATAAGGTATTTGCTTTATGTTTTTACTATTAATAATCGACGAATGAAAATAAAATAAGTAATGTTGTCTAACTACCACCTATACATATGTAAGATTGTTTTTGAGTAGTCGTATCTTTTTGTCAATCTATCATAAATGATCGAATACTAATAAGAACAAATGCATGTAAAAGTAAAAAAAAAAAAAAAGAAACAAGTACGAAATGAATAGGTGTGAATCAGAGCAATACTTTAGTGACACAGTAGTGATCGTGATAATGTTTATGAGCGCAAGATAAAAAGAGTGATAGGAAAATGAGTATAGAAGAAAATAGACAGGCAAAAAAGAGACATCTTTCTCTATATTCCCTGGGGCTACTAAGCAGCTTTTTAGTCTTTCTTCTTTTTTTCTCTTTTTTCTCATCTACGTTGTTGATGCCTGGCTATATCCTTTTTTATTGCCAAGAGGCTAGTAAGCCATCCATTTACTACTATCGTTCCATCAGTCGTTCATCTATCATCATTGGGCAATGAGAAAAGCGTATATGTGAATTTTAACTTAATAACAATAAGACGAATGACATCGGAGATGACAATGCCCGAGTGCTCACATTATGAAGACATGCTGTTAAGCTAGTTTTTTTTTTTAGCTTTATAATAAATATTTTTTTTATTCTGAATTCTAAACCTAAATTTTATGTACTTAAAAAACAATCTGGTTTTTTTATAATGTTTTTCTGAAGATTAAAGAAGATTTTTTGTGTTGATTTTGTGTTGATTAAAAATAGAATATGATTATTTGTTCTGACACTTTTTACTATAATCTGGTTTTGATATGATTGAAGCGAATTAATAAACTTTTTTCTTTTTTTTTTTTTATAGGATATAAAGTCATTCGAAAAGAAAAAAGTAATTATAGGAGATCTTATATGTTCTATTATTCCTTTATTCTGTTCTTTTTTCTTTTCTTTCTTTTTGTTCTTCTTCTGGTTCTCTATCAATCTGTAAATAGGAATGACGTAGTAGCAAACAAGAACAACTGTAATGATAAATAAAGGTAGTATTAAGTCTATTTATATCAATTAAATAACTTTTCACTACCGTAACCTATGATAAAAAAATGAGATCAATTTAACCCTTCGATGGCGGACTTATTTTTAGAATAAATAGATTAAAAATCTATTGTTAACGTCGTATACTTTGAAAATTATTGACGATCATAGTTTTTCGCACTTAGACTCAATTTAAAGATGAAATACTGTTACTAGTAGAATATATGTCAGAACATAACAAATATTGAAAAGTTCTATTTTACTATATTTCGACTTCATCTTTTATTCAAATTTTGACAACGTAAGTTTACGTGCTTCGCCATCAAAGGGTTGAAAAGAAAATTTGTCTAATAGGAAAATACTATTTTAGGCATCTATGAAAGATCGTCATTTTTGATTAAGGATTTTTTTATATTCTCTCTTTTAATTGCATGTTATAATACTCAAGAGAATTTTTCGTTTAATTTTTATTCTTAAATGAAAGGTTTCATAATTCATCATCTATATTGATTCACATGCAAACATTATCACAAAATGACTAAAGTTGATAATTGATCGACACATCAATTTATTTTATAGTTTTCAACACGAATCAAAAAAAAAAAGAATATACAAGCAATATAGAATACACATACTTCTTGCCTTTTTCTTTTTTGTTTGAATAAGTTTGCTGAACCTTTTTGAATATGACAATGACACAATACTGATTAACACACACATACATACAAGAGATAATATTAATTATTTTCTTCATACTTCTATCCATCGCACTCAGTCATAATAGCAACTGGCAACCAGAAAGACACGACCTTTGGAAACAAGCTGTGCACGAATATGACGTCAAACCTGTATTTCTCTCGTTGTCGTTTCATGTCTTTCTTTCTCTCTCTTTCAATATATTCAGTTAAAATCTATTGCCAATTGTTATTTGTTCAATTCATTCTTTTTTAATTTTTAACAATGACAGATGAAAAAAAATATACGCAAAAGAAAAAGAAAAGAATAAAACGGAAAATAGCTCGCTTCTTTGTTTGACAGAAATAATTTCTTCAAAATTTAATAAAAAACCTAATTTCCGTTTATCATTCAATAGTTCTTGTCGGAAACTACGATCCATCATGTTCTCATAATAACAATAAAAAAAAACATGAAACGTTTAATAATATATCCAAATTACATATGTCAAAAAAGGAAGCAACAAAACACGACCTGAGGTTCTTATTTTCTTTTTCTTTTTTTTTTTTTAGTTTTTAATAATGTTCGATATGCATAGAAGCATAAATTTTGATCTTGGGCAATAACAAAAAAAAACCACAAGTTGGCACACACAGATAGAAAAAAAAATGTAACGAAACACTGGCGAAAGCATATACGATTGAAAAACAGAACAAAAAAAAATTGACAAAAAAAAAAAACTTTTTTTTAATATAATACATTGGAAAAAGTCGTCAATAATGATGACGATTTCACTTTTATCACAAGAAAAAAAGGAAAACAAAAAAAAAAGGAAAAGACAAGAAACTTGAACAAATCATATAATCAGTGAAATGAAGAAATGAAAAAAAAAATCACAGATCTATGGAAAATTTTGTTTTATTGTCAATCAAGCAAGCAAAGAACTGAGTAGTAATAGTAGTAGTAATAATATATCTAAGTCGCGTGCTTTATTGAAATTATCAAGATGAAAAAATGTTAGAAAAGAAGAAATCAAATATTTCATGCAAGAGTTACACAAAAATGAACATTACATTTTATTTTTATTGATTTTCTCTTATTTTGTTAGACAAAATAAAGAGAAAAACTAACCTTGTTGTTTTTTTTTTGTTGTGATGTTGTTTGGTGTTATTTTTTATTATTTTAGTTATTAATAAGATAGAAGTCAATAACAAAGAAATTTAAGTTCGATTCAAACGAGGTGGTTGAATTGTGTAAGGTTGATAACGGGCAGAGGCAGAAGAGGCTGCTGCGCCTTGTGTGATGTTTCCTGTAGCATTGTTTGTTGTTGTTCTAGTAGCTACACCTGCACGGTAAAGAAGAGAAAAGAGCAGACAAAAGCAGTGAGATATTATATATTTATATAATTATATACATCAAATTTAAAGAAATCAGTTTACGTTTGTCAGTCAATACTACAGCGTTTACAAACAGAAGAAATCATATAAAAAAAACCTAATGCTCAAAAAACGAAATAAGAGAAATTAAGCGTATATTGACACATGCCTTTTTTTCTTCATTCATCACTGAATCAACGACATCAATGAGCCTAGAAGGAGAGAGACAATTGCATTCTATAGAGCTGCTCTCACCCCATAGCTAAACTGACTATCTATCTAAAGAAGCACGCCACCTGCTGTTATTGCCATAAGAAAATTATATTCTGATTAACTACACTAACTTAGTTGTTTTTTTTTTAAGTATTGTTTTAGTTAGAGAGTGCATTTAAGTGTTTTGTTTCAAAAAAAAGCAAGACTGTGTATGTGGTATGTGTTTGTTGATTTGTTTTTTTTTTTCGATTTGTTTGGTTGTTTGTTGTTGTTTTTATCATGGTGAGATATAAAGAGAGATCATGCGTTAAAGCAAAGTTTAGAAAAAAAGTAAAAAAAGAAAGAAAGAAAGAGAAAAAGAAAAAAAGATAGAAAGTATGGAAAGGATTATCATTCTAGCTTTTGACATGATTAGAAACTTTTTGATACATAGACTGATTGTGTGGATGATGATGTTGTTGAAAATTCTGATGCTGCTGATGATGCTGATGCTGATGATAATGATGCCTGTCGTGGCAATAACAGCAAGTGCGTGATGTCGACCGAAAAGCGGACGACAATAGGTACAATGAGTTAAATTTGATACCTGCTGGTGTTGTGGCTGTGGGACCGGCCAAAAATGGAAAAGCTAGAAAATATTAAAAAATAATAATAATAATAATATTTTTCATGAAAATCTAAAATAAAAAGAACTATTTACCTGCTTGACTTGGATCAATATGTGTTGGATATTCAAATAAATGTGCACCACCTGCAATCATTCCACCCATTTGATCAAGTGTTTGTAATGGTGCAAATACTTGAACAAAATTTTGTTCACCATTTGCTGATGTTGTTTGAAAAAGTGAACCGTGTGGAACAGTTGTTAATGTTTGTTGTGTTGGATTAGTAGTCGTTGTAGCAAACATAGCTTGTCCTGCACTTGATTGAATTTGTGCTGTTAAAAGATTTTGTTGCATACGTGGTGTTAAAATTAATGGTGCACCTATTGGCATTCGATTATTTGGAAATTGTAATTGTTGTAATTTTTTTTGAAATAAATTTGGTTCACGATATGTACCATTAATGATAGCTAATTCCATTAATTGTTTCTTTTTTAAATCATCTTCACCTTCAGCCTAAATGGCAGGTTTTTTTGTCATATAGATTTTATTTGAAAATAACCAATGATTAAAAAGCTATCTGTTTACTTTTGACGTATTTTCAACACATCAAAAGCTATGATTTTGTGCTCTTTTCAAATAAAAAGTGTCTCATAAGGTTCTGAGCTTCGACAAAAATTAGTTTATATGTAAAAAAAAATGATCATTACTCAACTATACCTGTATGAGCTTCGAGTACTTAGGAAAATATTGTAAATGATATATTGTCCGATGACGTTATCTTCTTTTAATAATAAATGATATAAGCAGAAGAAACGTAATAATTAAAATCTCGAAATCGATTAGTATTTTCTTAAGAAGTTTTAATGAACTATAAATTCATTATACGTAACATAGCACAATTATACAAAGCAATACGTAATATGTAGGAGGTGGGTATGACTATCCTCTGTAACCACATACATCCACACCATAATTATCACGTTTCTTCTGTTTATATCATTGTTATTAGAAAAGATAATGTCATCGGATGCTGTGTCATTTAAAACATTGTATTAAGTAATAGAAGCTCATATAGATATAGCTTGG